GGGCGCAGGGAGCTCTGCGTTCACACACAAACAGGAGTGAGATGGGGAGACACAAACCCCTCCCCGTGTGTCTGTAACCTGCCCTTAGCGCCCAGCCCCAGGGACAGCACCAGGGCTAACAGACACCTCACTGCATCCACAGGGAACCTGTGGGCTTGGTTCTGATCTCAGCCCCCCAGGGTCAATCCAGAGTCACCCCTGACTGCACTGGGGGCAGGGCTGGGTTCTGATCTCAGCCCCCCAGGGTCAATCCAGAGTCACCTCTCACTGCATTAGGGGCAGGGCTGGGTTCTGATCTCAGCCCACCAGTAGAGTGACCATATTTCCCTCTGCTGAATATGGGACACCTGGTAAAGTTACTCGTATTCAAGTGAGTTCAATGGCAATCAATCAGAGCTACGCAGTACAAACCTTCACATTCACATCAAGTGACTGAGCCCCTGTTAAAAAGAAATACTGCATAGCTGGACTCTTTTTATTTACGTTTATCTTTAAGGTTCACATGGGGAGGGGTCACACACACACTCTCTCTCTCTTCCATGCCCCTCTCTCACACGGGGGGGGGGGGTGACTGACAGACACAAACTCCCTGCCCAGCGCTCTCTGCCCTCCGCACGCCTGGCTGGGCCCCCGGGGTTGGACCCGCCTCTCCTGGTACCTGGCGCCATGTCTTTCCAAGGAACATATGTGTGTGTGTTGGGGGAGACATAGGGTCACGTGTCCCCGTCCCCAGATTTCTGCCAGGGTTCACAGCAGAATGTGGCCAGCAGCAGCCTCTCGGCACTGTGTGGGAGGGAAAGGACAGGAGCTGCTTCCAGCCACCGGGGAGTAGCGGGGGAGGAGGGGGAAGGGATGACCTGGCCCATATCTTTGCAGAACTCATCTCTCCCCCTCTCCCCCATGGATGGAAGCAGCTTGTCCCTTCCTGCCCGCACAGTGTGGAAAGGCAGCGAACACCCCCAGGCTGCTGCTGCCACCCACATAACCCAGCCGCTTCCTGTCCCCCGGCTACCGCGCGGGCAGGAAGGGGTTAAGCCCTAAGGCTGCATTGTGCCCCAGGGCCCAGGGAAATTGTGCCCCAGGGGCCTCAGTGACCCCAGCCAGGGAGGCCAATTAAGTAAGAGAAAAAAACTTTTGAAGTGATAATCAAGATAGCCCAGTACAGACAGTTTGATAAGAAGTGTGAGAATACGGTGGCGCAGCAGGGGAGGGTGCCTAGGGGGCGGAGCAACCCCGCACTCCCTGGGGGCAGGACCCAGGGCGAGGGGTTGGGGGGTGAAGAGGGTGCTAAGCCCCTGCCTTGGGGGCTGCTGTGGAGCCTGAAGGTTCGGGGTTGGAACAGGCTGGAAATTGCTCCCCCTCCATCCCCACTCCAGAGCTTAGCTGAGGGGTGGAGAGGCGTCCCCGTGCCAGCGCTGTGCGGGGCTTTGGCACACCCAGGGCTCGGCTCCTTCTGGCCAGTGTCCCAGGGCGGAGGGTCTTGGCCTTTCCTTTGGCCCAGCCAGAGGCAGTGGGAGGAAGGAAGGGAGGACTCTGCCGGCCAGGCTGTGGGTGAGCTGGGTGCTCTGACTAGGCTGGTTCCTCCACTGCGCTGCGCCCCGCCGGGGGGAGACATGGAGGAGCAGTGGGGCTGGGGGGTGAAGGGGCAAAGCAGGGAGAGGACAGCGAGAGGGGGAGCATGTAAAGGGCCGATGGGTGGGCATCAGAGGTGACACGTAACGGGCCACTGCCTGGCACCTGCCTGTACCCACCAGCCACCGCAGGGCAAAGATGCAGCTCGTGCCGTCCAGAAACGGGACAGGGGCAGGGCCCTGCTGGCCGAGAGCTGGCACGCAGCAGGGGCTGCGCTGATGGACGAGCAGGGGAGCGGCCGGCCCCACATGCTACATCTTTGCCCTGCCACCAGCCTTGCACACCCACCCCCATCGTCGGCCACCGGAACCCGCCGCTCACCCTTAGTGGGCAGGCGGCTGGTGAGCAGGGATCTGGCCAGTACTGATGGGGGGAGGGAGACAGAAAATATGGAACAATTTGTCTGTTTTTAAGAAAAACTCGCGTCACTAGCAGGAGCGCTTAAATACAGAACTGTCCCTTTAAAAACGGGAGGTCTGGTCACCCGACCCACTCCCACCCGGGTCAATCAAGAGTCACCCCCAGGCTCTGACCTCAGCCCCCTGGGATCAATACAAGGAGGCTGAACTGATTTTGGGTGTGAAAGTTCAGGGCTCAGCTACTCTTTTCCTCTCCCCCTTCCCCGCCCCTCCCCATCCTGAACACTATAGTTTCCCCTGCCCCACAGATACTCACGTCCCAACACCCCGCTCTGCCCGGACAGCCAGCAACCTGGAAAGAAGACGGCTAGTTAGGGACCAGATCCCAGAGCGACTTGGATCTCCCTCCCTACCCCCCCCCCCCGCCATATGGACAGATGCTCTGGCCTCAGATCTGCCCGCAATGGGCACACGCCCTGATCTCAGATCCCCCCCATGGACAGATTCCTTGGTCTCAGATCCCTCCACCACCGCCCATGGACACAAACCCTGGCTGTCTCTGATACTCACCAAGAAGGAGGATGGTGAGAGCAGATGCCATGATGGGGGCAGTGAGGGGCCCCTCAGCGCTGCCTCCAACACCCTGGTATCCAGCTCCACTGAGCCCCAAATAAAAAACTCAACTAGTGGCTCCAGCTACAGGAAGTCAACGATGTCTCCTCTCTTCCTGCGTCCATCACACATTGTCTCGAATCTGCAGGCGAAATCTAGGACAGTCAAAGTAAGCAGAGGGCTTTGCAAAACCCAAGAAACCCGCGGACGATCAGCCTGGCCAAGCAACATGAAGCTCACAGCTTGTCTGTGTCTCTGTGGAGAGGGGGGACAGGTCACCCTCAATGTACCCTGCAGCCCTGAGGAAGGTGCATCAGGCTGAGAGCGACCACGGGGTCTGGTCTTCAATCTTCCACTGACCACGATTTCCATGAAAATGCCATCCCCTTTTCATTCTGGGTTCAAGCCCGGCTGGTGACTCATGTAGGTAAAATTAATATGTGATCATTCAATTAAAGGCTGGTGTCGTAATGGTGCTGCACGAGGGGGCGGAGATAAGGTCATTCAGAAAACCGAAACTGCGGCATTTCCAGGTGCTGGAGGGTTTGACTCTGCATTCTTCCTGCTCAGCCTGCAAACCTGCCCACCTGCGACACGAGCCGTGGCACCATGTGAGGAGCGGGCGTGATGGGGAACGCCTGGGTTTGCTGCCCCTTGCATCATAGCTGAGCGGCGCTGGCAGGTTTACATAAACTGCTAAAAAAATAAAGAGGAAGTTTTAAAAGATATGACAAGGGAAGAAAACTGTTTCTGTGCTTGTTTCATTTATATTAAGATGGTTAAAAGCAGCATTTTTCTTCAGCATAGTAAAGTTTCAAAGCTGTGCTAAGTCCATGTTCAGTTGCATGAAGTCAATGTTCAGTTGTAAACTTTTGAACGACCAGCAATAACCTTTTGTTCAGAGTACTGAATATTTCAGAGTTACGAACAATCTCCAATCCTGAGGTGTTTGTAACTCTCAGGTTCTCCTGTATTTCCATGCAGATTCACAGACCCCCTTCCTCCCCCCGCACACACCTGCCTGCTTTGTTGCATTCTGAGTTCAAAGCTGGCCGGTGACCCATGTATGTAAAATTAATACATTATCGTGCAATTAAAGAGGGCAGAGTTAAGGAAAACTTAACTGTGGCATTTCCTGGTGCTGGAGGGTTTGACTCTGCAGCCTTCCCTCTCAGCCTGCAAACCCGCCCACCTGTGACACGAGCTGTGACACTGTGCAAGGAGCGGGTGCGAAGGGGAACACCTGGGTTTGCTGCCCCTTGAGCCATAGCTGAACGGTGATGGCAGGTTTACACTGTAACGCCTGGTTCTAAGGGGCTTTTCTCAGCATGTCGGAGGTCAAGTCTCTGGAAGCTGAGCAGTCTCCTGTTTGGGACTTGGAGGGGGGAGTCCAGGGTGTCTGGCCCAGGTTCCCCCCCAAATGGACTGTGCTGAAAGTCACTGATTTCTGTACTAACAAGCTCTGTTCTACGCTGTGTTCCTGTCGACTAATAAACCTTCTGTTTTAACGGCTGGCTGAAAGTCACTGCTGGCTGCGGAGTGGGGTGCAGGGCTGGCACGTTGGAAAGCTCACCAAGGCACAGCTGGTTGCTCAGCTGGAAGAGGATGATCACTCTAAGGAGCCGGTTCCTGACCCAACTGGGGCTGCGAGAGATACTGGGAGTAGCCGGGCGTCCCCGAGACCCGTGTTCCTGACCAGCAGGGGTCTCCAGCTGGCTCCCCGTGGGTGGATCTGAGACGGATGGAATTGGAGCGGAGATTGAAGGAGTCAGAGGACCAGGAGAGGCAGGGAAGGCAGGAGGCAGAACAGCAGCAGATGAGCTGGCGATGGCGAAGCCAAGAGGCACAGGGACCTGTCCAAGGGTGAGCGGGGATGGACCAGTTTCTGTGGGAGTTGATGGCAATTTCCTACCCCCAGCCCTGGTACCTGGCCCCACGCTGGCGTGGCAGGTGGGAACCGGCGCCACTCCAGACTGAGTCGGGTCAGTTAACCCCTGTGGGGTCTGTCAGAGGTGGGGGGAGTGAGAAAGCTGGAGCCCTGGTGTCTGTGGTTAGTTATACAGGGACACCCCTCCCCTCCTCCCCCAACTGGCAATGTCGGCTCTTCCCTGGGCTGAGCCGGTGTCCCTGAGGAGAGGACGGGACCCAGGGATTCGGGCTGGCTCAGCGCCCCTAGGACCCCAGAATGGGGAGGATCGGTCCATTAAGAGTCTGATCTCAGATACAGCCCCTGCCTGGCTCCAAGGAAACTGGAACCAAAATCATTACTGACTAGAGGAGAGATTAATAAGACTGGGACTTTTCAGCTTGGAAATGAGACAATTAAGCGGAGATATGATGAAGGTCTATAAAATCATGACTGGTGTAGAGAAAGTAGATAAGGAAGTGTTGTTTACTACTTCTCATAACACAAGAACTAGGGGTCACCAAATGAAATTAATAAGCAGCAGGTTTAAAACAAACAAAGGGAAGTATTTTTTCACACAATGCACAGTCAACCTGTGGAACTCCTTGCCAGAGGATGTGGTGAAGGCTAAGACCATAACTGGGTTCAAAAAAAACTAGATAGATTCATGGAGATAGCTCCATCGATGGCTATTAGCCAGGATGGGCAGGAATGGTGTCCGTAGTCTCTGTTTGCCAGAATGTTTCCCAATGAACAGAACAGGGAATCATCAAGTGATCCATCCCCTGTCGCCCATTCCCAGCTTCTGGCACTGGCCACTGTTGGAAGACAGGATATGGGGCTAGATAGACCCAGTAGGGCCGTTCTTATGTTCTTATGTTATTAGTATTAATTACCAGGTGCCCCTGTCCTGGACCAGCTCTCCCGTGTGCTAGGAGCTGTACAGACACACGACACAGATACAGTCCCTGCTGCAGCTAGGTGCCAATCACTCCTGTATCAAACCCAGGGGCATGAATTCCAACACCCCAAACTCGCTCTGAGATCCCTTGATGATCCGACTGGGTGTGGGCTGGAGCGGGGACGCCGAGCCAAGCCCCTCACCTGCTATCACCAGGTCCATGGGGTCTGTTGTGTATTTGGTTGTCGTGGTTTTTGT